AAAAAAATTAAAAAGAGAATGTATTGTACTAGCCACACCCAGTAAAAGGGCCTTGGTCTGAAAGGCTGGCCTGAAACAACTAGCAGGTTCCAGAGGATGGGTCCAGGAGCCCCAAGACCTAAGGATCACGTTGTGGGAGTTACACCTCAATCAGATTTTCTGGGTTCAATTAGAGGGAAATAAGCCAGGTAGGACATCAAGGGTTTCCTTCATGACCCAGGAAAACCTGAAGCGTGCAGGCAATATCTCTACCACAGATATTCAGCCTCCTAGCAGGAATATAGGTTTGGTGCGTGCACTTCAGCAGCTAACACAGCCTGGGTGGGAGAGAGGCCTTCAGGGAAAGGAGGGGAAGTGGGGAAATAGTTGGGGCTTATAAGTGAGGTGGGGCCTGTGATGGAGAAACTTTCTCCAACAGAAACTTTTTTGTTATGTATAATGGCTTCAGGAAGGGAACAGGCATAAGACAGCTGATGTTGCTTCACAAAGACAGCTGTGTTGCTTCACAAACCCTGAGGCCTGAGTACCTCCACAATCTGTTGTTCCCACTTATCTCAGGATCATCTGTTTGGGAGGCTGAGCCATTGCAAGTCACTGCATCCTGACACTTTACCCAATTAGTTAGACCTATTTTCTGTAACCAATTCCAAGTACTTCCACTGCTTCCACTGCTTCTTGGGACATCTCAGTTTTCTGATTCCTCTTTGGAAACCAGCCACCCCCCTCCAACCTCTCTCCTGTATATCTGAGAGTGTGGAGTCAATTCTGTCCCCAAGACAGGGAAACAGATGAATTAGAGAGCCAAGGGAATAAATACCTGTCTCTGATTCTCTCACCCTCTGATCACTTGCCCGTGCTCCACATTGGCTAAATTCAACCAGAAGCCAGAGGGCCTAGGAGCCTGTTCATCAGTCAATACAGGTCAGCATTCTGGATCACGAAGCAGAGTAGTGTGCACTTGGAAAGGCAAATCTTTAACCCGGATAACTTCAGAAACCTTAGTCTGGTTTCGTTATAGCTGCCAAAGTAGTCTTTTTGAAAAAAAAATAAAAAAAATTGTGGGCCAGGCGCGGTGGCTCACGCCTGTAATCCTAGCTCTCTGGGAGGC